TCTGTTTTTGTTTATGTGATGTATTATATTTATTTGGGTATGTTGCACCATTTTTTAATGCTTCATTTTCATAGCCCCTGTAGAAGCCAACCTGGTCATGATGCATGATGTTTAAAATGATGGTACATTTTTTTGCCAGTATCTTATTGAGAATTCCATTTTTTGGGAGCGTACCAGGAATTAAACTCATGATTTCACACTTTCCAGGCAGACAGTATTTTTACATCTACGTTCATTAAGGAAATTGGCCTGTAGTTTTGTTATTGTTGTTGATAAATCTTTCTCTGGTTTTGATATAGGATAATACTGTCTTCCAGGAATGAATTTGACAGTGTTCCTTTCCTTTCAATTTCATAGAAGACTTTGAGAAATATTGTATTAAAACTTCCTTGAAGTTCTGGTGACATTCTAAGGTGAATTCATCAGACCTGGGCTTTTCTTAGCTGATAGTATTTTTGCTACTGCCTTTAAGTTATTGCTTGTTACTGGTCTACTCAGGATTTTTATATCTCCTTGGTTCAATTTTGGCAATCTATACATGTCCAGGAATTTCTTCAGTTCTTCTAGGTTCTTCTGTATTAGAGCATAAGTTTTTGAAATAATTTCTTATAATCCTCTGAACTTTAGCAGTTTCAGTTGTGAATTCGCTTTTTCATTTCTAATTCCATTGGCATGAATTTTTTCTTTCCTTCTTTTGGTATGTTTAGATCTAGAGTGCATCCACAATGTCTCCTGGGTTCAGAGGCAGGGCTTTTGGAAGATGACTGGATCACTGGATTGCTACACCCCTCAGTGGATTAATGCTTTTGCTCCTTACTTTCTTCTCTGCTCTCTGGCTGCCATGGGTTGAGCATTTTTTCCTCCCCCACAGTCCTCTACCCATCCTGTTTCTGTCTTAGAGATGTCAACTCTAGGTGGAAAACATACATCAAAATAAACCTTTCCTATAAATTGTGAGTATCAGGTGTTGTGTCCCAGGGACAGGAATGTGCCTAAGACATGGTTTACTGATGCTTTTTGACCTTTCAAAGAATCAACTCTTTGATTCATTGACCCTTTGTATTGTTTTATTTTAAGTCAAAATTTCATTAATTTCTGCTTTGGTCTTCATAATTTCTTTCCTTCTATTACCTTTGTATTGTTCTTGTTTCTCTAGGACCTTAAGATACTTGTGATCACTCTATTTAGTGTGCATATTCAAAATGATAAACTTCCCTCTTATAAAACTGCCTTCATCGCGTTCCATAGGTTTTGGTATGTTGTGTTTCCATCATTCCTCATTGGGCTCTTTGATCTTTTAATTTGTTCTCGTGTTTCTTCTATAATCCATTGATTATTAAATAATATATTAAACTCCATGTGCTTGTGTAGTTTCGGTGATTCCTTTTGCTGTCAATTCCTACTTTCCTTTTGCTATGATCTAGTAATATTTGGAAGATTATTTCTATTATTTTGTATTTATTTAAGAAAGCTTTATTACCTAACATACTAGGTAATAATATTACCTATTACCTAAATAAATGTTTATTACCTCAGTAACACAGAGCACTTGCAAAAAGTGCTCTTTGTTACCGAGAAAAAAATGTATATGTTATTATTAGATTGAATACTCTGTAAAATCTGTTACACTGACTTGTTCACTGGTGCAATTTAACTCTGACATTTCTTTGTTAACTTTTTTTTTGGTGAAATGTTCTGCTGCTCTTGTATTAGTGTCTATCTGTCCTTTTATGTCAAGTAGTTTTTGTTTCATGAATTTGAGTATGCCAACATTCAGTATATATATTTACAGTTGTTATTTTTTCCTGTTGAATCAATCCACATCTCTTATGTAGTATCCAATTTTCTCTTTTCTTATCAGTCTCTTAAGACTAATAGATTTAGCAAAGAGGTAGGATATAAAAATAGTACACAAAAATCAATAGTGTGCCTGTACACTAACGATGAATTTTTCAGGAAAAGAATCAGGGAAACATTCCCCCTTACAGTTACTTCAAAAAATTAGATATTTAAGAATAACCTAACTAAGGAAATATAAAGAAAATTATAGTACACTGAAAAACTATTAAGAAAACTGTACAAAACAGAAACATATTCCCTGTTCCTGTATGGATAAAACCAAGATTAACTGACAAATTAAAGGAGAAAAGGTTAATTTCAGCTCATCGTTTGTAGAGATTCAGCCCATGGTCAGCTGGTTCCAAGGACAGCATGACAGACGGAAATTGCAGAGAAGGAACAGTCTACAGCAAGACAGGGAGAAGCAGCCGTACTCAACAAACAGCAATCCTGCCTTCCTTTGCCCCCTTTACATTTCAGACGGATTACAAATCTGTTGATCAGGGCCATTCATCCTAGGCTGAGGCTTCCATTATCCATACCCAGAACTATGCTAATCTCAGACAATGGACTAATTTAGTATCATCCACCCTGAATCCCAGTATCAAATGGCCCATATCCAGCCAGCTCTAAAAAGTCCCACCTATGAGCACATGAGGCTTTGATAGTGGGGGAGGGAATTTAGATACAAGTCACAGCAAAAATCGTCTTCTTATTTTTTAACAAAATATACAGAAACATTCATATTTGGTACTATCTTTGAAACTGTCTTATTTATAGAAAAATTTCATCGAGGCTAGATATAGGGTAAGATAACATTTACCCTTGGGATGATACAGTTTTAGGTAGATACTCAACCGAAAGAATGGAATTACTTCTGCAGCTGATTTGTAATTCTTATTTGGTGGATGTTGTTTCATCTTAGTTTTGAAAAAACTTTCCACAACTCTGTACTGCAATTGATATTTACGGCATTTTAAATCATTTTTACTCTGATTTTCCTCATATATTTCAGAATTTTTTAGTTTTAACAGTAACTCTTGAAAAAATCCTACTAGAATAATATATCCCTTTTGTATATCTAAAAAACAAAGCAAATTAAGTATTAATTTATCCAAGTGGATTAAATGAGTATGTTTTTAATTTTTATTAGACATTATGAGGTACATCATTATTGTCAGTTTAACCTTTGTAATCTCTAGCTTTCTCTAAAGGAAGTCTGAGAAAGGTAAACTTAAATAAAAACTATTGAAGGAATTTTTATCCATACATGTTTATTTCTTCTTTTTCAGTATCACAACAGAGCATATTCCGTATGCTGAGAATCTCAGCCTCAGCATATGTCAATTATACTGTTCATGTCCCTATGGGTAGTATTATGAGATACAGCATAACAAAAATACTAATGGAAAGAAAATAATATTTTCAATGGTTTTATATTACCATGACTGTACTGTTTTCCAAAATGAAATAGTGTCTTAGATGTAGTTTTGATATTCTGTATAGAATTGCGTGACTTTTTAAAATGACAATTTATTTAGACAAAAGCCAGCAGTCCTCATTTTATGATCAGGATTGTGTTGGAGAGTTGGACTGCTTGCACCTCATAGTCTCAAGGGCCTGGACTCTATTTAATGTGACAGTAATTCTTAAAATAGGGATAGAGTGTCTTATGTTTATTGTAGATTTCAGTTCATCTCCATTATACCTTGAAAATAACTACATAATGGTGTAAGTTGTCACAGAAAGTCTTTATAGATAAATTAGTTTATCTGGACCTTGAAGAATTGTTTGGCCTTTTAAAACTGGAAGGAGTTAGGAAAAGGTGTTTTAGAGATTAATCAAACCTGGCGATGGTGAAATGAGATTTAAACCATACATATTTTGAGGTTCCTACAAAGGAAAAGATAATAATTCCAATTTGACGTCAAGGTAGGTAGGAGTATAATGGAATTTATACTGTAAAAGTCAGATTGGAAGCATTTTGAATCCCAGAAAGGGACATTTATTTTTCAATTTATATGTCATAGGAAACTATGTGGCCAAATCTGTATTTTAGTGGGTGATGGATGACACTACTTAGAGGATAATTTACAAAGTAGAGGCTTAAAAAAGAAAGAGTAAGTCATGTGGGTTGACAAACAATGAGCACCTGGATGGGAATAGAAGGAATAATAATGAGCAGGCAATGTATCAACTGCAGGCTGTGGCAAGCTATAGAAGGAGGATGGGCAGAATTTGATGGTGGGATGAGTAAAGGGAGAGATGTGAGGAGGATAGTGGACATGGTTAAACTGAATTCCCTTCCCAAGATTCTTTCGCAGTATGGCTTGCTAAAGCATGAAATAAAACATAACGTAGAGCTACTTCAGACTATTCAGTGGAGACTCAAGAGTAATGCTTTTAATACTAGATCTACATATTTCTCTTTCTCATTGCAATTGTCTAAAAAGCAGGCAAACTTCTGGTAACTACACACAGGGGTTCATTGTGGGGTAGGGATGATTGATTATTGTATAAGGTGTGAGGCAAAGACATGTAGGTAGATATAGTTGAATAAGCTATTTTAGACTATCTTCCTATTGATTATTTTCCTGCTGTCTGTAGATAGTTGTTTAGAGAGATCTTATTTTCCTAAATAGATGATCTTTGGGGCTACTGTAGACTTTAATGATTTAAGAAATGCCTCCCAGCCAGCGGGTGGCAGTGTTGCACAGTAGGAAGAACACTGGTACCATGACTGGCCCTTGATTCCTGGATTATCAGATCAAGAGAATCTCCTTTTAAGTATAGATTCCCATATTCTATCACTTGGAGATTCTGATTTAGTTAATCTGCGATATAATCCCAAAACTGGTTTAATATTGTGAGTAATTTTGAGAATTAGATAAATTTAGGAGCTAATGCTTTAATCTGATTCTCAGCTGTTACAGCATTTCTATGAATAATGACTGTGAAAATGCATCTGATTTTTATAACCTTTAAATTACAATAAAATATAGTTGAATTGCTTCTCAAAATTACCATTCCATCACTGTTTAGAAGACTTCATTAATTTCTTATTGGTTTGAAGCTTGACTACATGAGGTCACATTTGTTTAATTTTTATGCTTGATGAGAGTAGGACAAAACATGAATTCTGTCCAATTTAACACAAAAAGTTATTATTAATAGAGTTCTTTTAATTCAGAGAAAAATCTTAATATCAATGAAATCTGAACAATTCTTATTTCCATATACTTTTAATACAAAATCCATGTTTATTAACACTGAGATAATTTATTTTACAAGTTTATTCCAACTTCCTAGTTTTTTGGGCATTAGCTTAAGTTAAACACATTGTTCTCTTCATTACTTCCAAACCAAATACAGTTGACACAAAAATTTTTGTGTCAGTAATAGTGATGACTCTTAAATACATAAAATACTTTTGAAACAGGTATAAGGAGATTTCAGCAGCACATACAATGTTTATATAATAGTATATAGCATAAGTGTCAGTTGAACTTGAAGCTTATAGAATTCTGTAATCAGCCTCAAAGTTTTATTCACACTTTCTGGATAACCAGTGTTACCCGGTTTTGTCAGTTCTGAGGGATTTTTCTAATAGAGAGGTCAGCTATATCTTGTGACAGTGCCATGATATCATCGTTTTTTAACTAGTCACTCAGTTTTTGTTTTGTTTCTGCTTCTTTGGTCCTGTGCCTGCATAACTTCCATGTCCACACATTCTGAGTCACTTATTCTTCCTCTGGAACTGACGAGTCACCCAGGCAGCCACGCTGGTGCACATCTCTTCTGTCCTTGATACCATCTTTCAATTCCCTTCATTCAGAAACCAGTCACTTTAGGCTACTAGCCTGAAGTTCATTTAGAAGATTTAAGTAAATATCTGATTTCAGGAACCTGGGATAAGAGTCCTTTTCCATAAGATTATATATGACTTTTTGGGCTTCATCAAAGCATGTTGGAGTAGGTGATTTAATCTTCTTGGCTGTAGATTCTCGCGTGTGAAAGTCAATATTGATCTAAAAAGAAATTCTTAGTTAATATATACTTGTGGCAAATTTTATGATGTTTCTTTTTCAAACATTTCCAGAAAGTGGTTTTAAATCTTTATCTAATCTGTTGTCTCTTGAATACCTATTCTGAATCAGTCCTATAACAAGTGTGACAGATAAAAAGACATCAAGAAGAGTGTTTGCTCCAACTTTTCTCATAGTGTAACTGGAAGATGCAAAAGAGACAGACATGGGAAACGTAGTACATTTCCATGAATTACAAGGCACTTACAAGGCAGTATGAGGTGGTACATGAAACAGAAAAGAGTGACATGGATCTTTAAAATTTACTATGTGAGAGGGCTCTTAGTGCAGCTATTTTATGCTTGGACTAAGACTATTTTACTGGAAGGTCAGCATTATGACTTAATAGAGATGGTTGCAAAACCATGTCTGTATGTATGACAACAGTCTGCATTTTATTTTTATCCAGTAAGAAATAGTTCATTTAGGATTCCCAAACATGCAGTTCCAGCCCATAATACCTGTTCTCATTTCCCCACCCCCATCATATGAGATAGTTTTACAAAATCAGTCTTTTCTTTCTCTGTGATGAAATCTTCACCAATATAAGAATTATATTACTATTGCACTGACCTATATGAATAGACCTAAATATATAGAGGTAAAATGGCATTTGCAAGGAATTGATCTTAATATATATTGACCGTTATTTCTTTAGCTAAATTCTTTTATAGATAAATGATCCTGAACTAAGTACTCACTTGTTTAGCTGCATCTGAGTGTACAAATACTTTGTATATGTCCTCTGCTTTGGAATGCAAAAGATTTGACTCTGTTTTCTTATAGTCTTCACAAGCCAACCAGAACTCGATATTCTCCTCGCTGAACTCAGACTTTAGGAAATTTCCAAACACATCTTGACCAGCTAAAAAGAAGTGGAAGGAAAGAGATAATTAATTAATTGAAACAGAAATGAATCCCTTGAAAAAACTGCAAGAAAAATACTATCCTAGCCTACACAAGTAAATACAATGGAACTACTTGGAAATAACTGAGTTTTAGTATGTAGAGAGCGGAGGGCCTTAGAAATTCTTCCTATGTATAGAAGAAGAATCTGGAACCAAACTTGTTCACAGTCACATAGCTGTATAGAATGGCCACATAATTGTACTTTGCTTCCATCGAATAGATACCAACGTGTTAGCCAGAGTTTAGAGTATTACAAGGACATTATGGAAAAGGCACAAACATATAATTTCCTCATCCAGTCACGTTAGACCTTTGTATATCACCTGTGTACCTGATATACTGATCATATGAGCTACATTGCCAGTAATTATATGGGCCATTTCTATGCCATTTATTTGTTTAGATGACTTGGACAGCTAGTTTAATAATCAGAGGGATGTACAAGCTTGAATTATTTGATACGCAAAGAAAGATCCTTATAATGTTTTGGGGAAAAGAGAATGAGCCTATCTTTCAAGGTTCCAAACCTACTAGACTGGCAATATCAATGACGGGAAGGCAAGTGATTTCATTCTTTCATCAGAAAATTCTCACAAGACTGTATAAAACTTCTTTTATCTATGTTGTGATATGTATCATATTATGTATAATGCAGTTACTTCCTTCATGTTGACCACCTTTGTGCTATTAAAATACTGTCTTTCTTTTTGAAAATTTGGTGCCTACAAAATGCTTGCCATATAAAGGTGAGATAAATAAGAGACAATGAATCTAGGAAAGATAATTTAGTAATCCAGTGAAATAATCTTGGTCTTTATATCCAACAATACAAAATATATTTAGGCAGCTTTCAAAATGGTAGTTCTCATGTTTTAAATATTTGTTTTTATTTTTTAAAACTTTAAACTTCAGAACCCTAGCATAATCTTACTTTGTTCTATAAGGACTGCTTTGGCAGATTTGTCTAAAGGACAATGGTAAAATTGAGTGCAAGGTCAATGTTATATTACAAAGAAGACATACTCTGCTGGAGTATCAGTGACTGTAGGAAAACCACCCTATAACATTTTTTATAATACCCTACTCAAAATACTGTTTAAATGAAGCCATTCAATCTGTTAGGGTATTGAGCTAAAAATAGAAACACCCAGTAATCAATGCACACTTACTTCTGTTGGCAAGCAGTTTTTCGAGAGATTGAGACCATTGCATTACTTCATCAGCAGAAAGTCTATAGGAGAAAAAATTTACATAAATTAGTAAAATGTTTTTATGTAAACCAAAATGAAATGAGAACGACTGATGCATTTTGATAATTTCATAAACTATGACTTTAGTTCTAATAAGTTTTATTAACATTTATGTATGCAAAATTCCTTAGAATTACCACAATTATGAAGTTAATCTGCAAATAAATTTGAAACAATACAAATACATAAAATATGTTTGTAAAAAAATTTTACTATTTGCAAAAAGCAAATAGTAAACATATGCACACACATATTTGTATTTACATTGGTAGTAATGTACTCTGATCTTATTTGGCATGTTACCTAAAAGAAATAAAGTATTAATCTCTAGGATGCAGAACTAATGCTTAGGCTGTTCTTCTGAATGATAATGATAATTCAGTTTATCAATGTACATACATGTCCTTGGACTTGGAAGGCTTCATTCCTGATTCCAGATGTGGCATCATGAATCTCAGGTAAGCTTTCATGTCCATTCCACTACAAAAGGCCAAAAGTGATTATTCATGTATCTTCAATAGAATTCATTTTATTTGTCAAAAGAAAAGCACATAAGCACATGGTAAATGTCTCCAAAGAAAGGCAAAAAATAAAAATAGTTGATAATATTTTGCCATATTAATATAGAGTCATTTTTATAAGTCAGCATCTGGAAATATTCTCACATAATTTAATTCTATAATATGATTTACTTTTTAGTATTACTGGATCTTACATCAGGTAATTACAACTCACGACAGGTAATTGCTATGATCTGGTTGAACTAAGTACTCAATTCTCTTCCATTCATAATATATAGCCCCTCTGCCGTTAAAACAAGCTAAGTGAAACACTAAATGAACTTACAAAGTTCTTGGTCTCCTTTTCTGTGTTTTGTCTTCTAAAAATGGGTGATCCGTTTCTTTCAAGTCTTTTGGGTTAGCTGAGAAGAACATTCCTGGCATTTTGTCCAGCCTTGGCGTGGAGATGGCTGCTGCTCTCATGGTCCTCTCGAAGCAAGTGTCTGTTAGCCAACGTCTCTGCTGCTTTATATAGCAAAGACAGCCAGGCGCTTGCTGTTCAAAGGAGGCTGTTTATCAAGTGATGTTACCACAGACACTGAAGTTCCTCCTTTTTTCATGTGCTGTGACGTGTATTTTGAAAAAAAAAATGTACTGTGATGCTTTGTGGTTGAAACTTAACCAAATGAAAGCGGGTCATTTGATTAAAAAGAAAATTAAACATACAGAAGCACATACACATATCACACGTTTAAAGCATTAGTAACCGTCAGTCTTTGGTTTGGGGGAAATGTCCTTCTTTGTGGTAGAAAAATGCATATTCCAATAAAACGTTTCATTTGCTGTGTGGTATCACTCAACATTAGAGTTATATTTCCTTCAATGCTTTGGATTGTCCTTGGTTGATGATAGTATTTCAAAAAGCCCCCACCCCCAAAACCCCTAGCCCTTTCTATAGGATAGAAAGGAGAGATATGAGGGATTATCTTTACCTTGTCTTTGACTCTCATAGCTTATTTTCATGGCAAAAATTTTAATGTTAGTGATTTTCCATGTATATGCTAAATGTTTCACTGTTGATGTATTATAAACAGCACATTTTAAAAATCATCTATTAATAATATAATCAATATGTCAAACTACAATGGTTTGGATATTTAGAAAAAATCAAAGTAAAATTTAAAAATACCTATAGCTAAGTAAACGTAAAAGTATAATTCATACACAGACTTGGTATATTCATAACAGACGGTATCATAGTGTATGCGGTGTGAGCACAAAATATAGTTCAGTAAATGGTTAAATTTTTAAAACATTATTATACTAGAAAACACATTGCTATTAAACTCCCTCAAAATACTCCCTCTCACTCTGAACACACTTATCATTCTTGCCACTTTCTGAAGCAGTTCTCAAAGTTTGCATTTAAGAGTTATGTGTGCCGTGATGTCTTGATTCAGAATATTTGACTTTTGTGATCGTTTTGACTTTCGGGAAGAGCCAGAAGTCTCATGGTGCTAGACTCAGTGAATGAGGTGGATGAAAACACATGATGATATTTTTACAAGCCTGCCTTTCCTTTGGACAGCTCTCTGCAGCTGGATTTATGGTAATTTTCATCACGTCTAGTGAAAACACAAAAGAGGACTTCCAGAACTACTTCAGAAAGTGGCCAGAAAGATAGTTGTGCTCCAAGCAAGAGGAGATATTTTCAGTGGAGTTAATGGCAATGTGTCTTTTACCAATAAATTTTAAAAATTTCTACACATACTTTATATTTTATCAGTCCTTATATGAGTGTATTGATACTAAATAATTAAAGAGCATCACAAATAAAGCCACAAGGTAAAATAAGAGTTCATTTGATTAGGCCAGTAATTTTTGTTACTTAGGTAAATGATCCTTCAGATTTTGGCAGTATCTCTAGTGATGTACAGTATAACTTTTATTGATGTTAAAATCTAAAACTCAAATTCAAAAAATGATTAATAGTTTATCAGAGTAGAGCAGTTAGTACAATTTAAGCTTTTAAAGAATTTATATTGATAGTATGGGTTACTTATAGGGTTCACAGTTTAATGTAAACCTTCTTTGGATTTTGTCTCTGAAAAGATAGTTTTTAGAGAGACTTCTGATAGTATTAGGTAGAAATGATAAAGAGCAAAATATTAGTTTTTTAATCCTTATTCTATCAGCAAGATAAGCAATATTCGAAAGGAAACATATCTTACCATGTTGTAAAACTCATACACAGTCATGTGAACAATCGTATTTTTTGTAACACTATCATTTAATGTTAGGAAAATAATGTGATATATTAACAAAATAGTGAAATGAAATGAAACAGCCACTTTGGAAGTGACCACACAAAGCTGATGGAGTACAGACACTGCATTGATGATACAGAGACGTTTGTACACTTCTTGTGGTTTCATATTTACTTTCCTGTTAAAATATTCAGCATTGCTCAAGTTTATTTATCTAATAATACTTTACTCATCTAGATAACTATCTGTAAATTATGTTAGAAAAGTAACTTAAAGGTTATTTTGAATGACCTACTATAATAATCCAATATATTGATAATTTCCTGGTACATTTCTGAAACAATAGTTTGCTTGAATGTTAATTAGCATAATAAGAAACAAAAGCAAGAACACAATTTATGGGCCGAATAAGTTTAACAAATTTAAACCAGCCAAGGTGTTTTATCAAAAGCCTGTCTCAAAATTAAAAAAAAAATAATCAAAAGCAGCTGAGAATGTACTTCAGTCCAAAAGGCTCTGGGTTCAATCCTCAGTATCATCAGGGAAAAAAAAAAAAGTTCCAGTAGAAGAAACAGTGACTTACACACACACACACACACACACACACACACACACACACACACACACACATTTTTATTTTTCCATCTACTTTTCGTAGTCTTAATATTATGTTTTTTTTTTTAAACCGGGACCAGGGATTGAACTCACAACCACGTGCTTGCAACGCAGGCACTTACGCCGCTGAGCTAAATCCCCAGCCCCCAATATTGTGTTTTTTAAATAAATAAACTTTGCTTAATGCAGCTTTAGACTCAGTGAAATTGAGTAGAAAATATAGAGCCCTCACCTCTTCCTACCATTACCGTGACTCATATTCTACCAGCCGGAGCATCCCTCATCATCAACGTGGTGTCTTTGCCATAATTAATCAACCTGTAGTTTCCATTAGAACTCACTCTTAATGCTGTCTACTATCAGGACTATATGATGACATGATCCACCACTGTAGCATCATACAGAACAGTTTCCCTGCCCTAAAATCATCAGCGTTTAATTGTTACAACAAACACCTAGGAGATTGATTCAGTAAAATATTTAAGCTTATGGCTAATAATTTTGAGGAGGGAAATGAAGGGAATTTTAATCTTTGCTGAACTTATTTTTTATTTTGGTTAGTATCACTTCAACTACCTTGTTGAAAGTATCTGAATACTATTAGGAGCTATTTGGAAAAATGACATTTTCAACCTTTATATTGAATATTTTTTGGATTGCTAAAATTTTTTGCAGAGAATAGAGTTTTGAAACAAAAGGCAATGACGAATATGAGATAACACTATGAAATATATAGTAAGGCCAATGCCATGAGCAGAAATTTTGAACCTTTGAAACGAAATATCTTGACTGAACAAGTGTTTTTTTTTTTTTTTTTTTTTTTTTGGTACTGGGGATCAAACTCATGACCTCATGCTTGGCAGGCAGGCGCTTATGCCACTGAGCTAAACCCCACCCTTGACTGAACAAATTTAATTGTCTTCTGATAATATAATGGATGTAAATTGTTGCATATACAAAAGTGGGAGACTCTCTGTCCTCAGGGGTTCACAGTATAATAGGACAGATAGACTTTTGAGCAAGTAATTGAAGTGGCACTAGAGAGTAACATACATACAGTCAAGGTGGCTAACTTTGCAAATATGGTAAGAAAGGAAAGCAGTACTGCATTTATCTCAGAATCAACATGTGTTCATTCTTTGCCTCTTTCTCTGTTTGAATTCAGCACTCCTTGGAAAGTGTACAAGATGACAATGGAGACACAGTCTTCAGCAAATGGACATCTCTTACATGTTTAAGAACCATGAAAGAAGGGGTCATTCATGTAACCCAATTAGAGACTCGAGAAAATTTTGTTGGGTTAGTGCAGTCATTTGGGAATTAGGAAATTAAAGTAGTCATTTATGGATCTTAAATACCTTGGTTCATTTCTAAGGTTTATTTTTAGCTCCTGCCTCTCAGGTTTTTAAAATTAGGGACTCTGGAAGATTTTGTTGGGTTAGTGTAATGATTTGGGAAGAAATAACTAGTCTTTTATGGATGCTAAACACCTGGTTCATTGCTGAAGTCTCTTTTATTAGCTCCTGCCACTTTCCTTCCTTACCATACTCGCAAAGTTAGCTGTCTCTTCTGTATGTTACTATCTGGTGGCACTTCAGTTACTTGCTCAAAAGTCTATCTGTCCTATTACACTGTGAACCCTGGAGAACAGAGATGCTTTCATCTTTGTGTTTGCAGTGACTAATAAAACTTGCAGTAACAAGTTTATAGTGCCAGCAACAGTGTTTAAACTAAATTTCATAGAGCTCGCTTGCAAAATTCAACAAAGTTGAGTTTGAAAGGATGTTTGTATGTGTGGCTGTGATCGTTAAGATTGGTAGGGACATTCATTCTTGATTTGCATCATTTATGAATGAAAAGATTAAACACTGTAGAATTGCTTGCCATCGTGTTTTCTAAATGAAGACATCTCCTGATAGGCTTCAATAAAAGCAGATGTCTACAACTTGGTGCATTGCAGCAGTGATCTCAGTAGATGGAACTGAGCAAGATAAGAATCTAGTTTCCTTTTCTCGCCCTGCTATGATTTCTAGTCAACACTGAGTATGGCCTTTCTATAAATTGAGAGTTTATAGGAAAACTGAACATGAGTCCTGTAGTGAATTTGGATCAGATGATTCTACAAAACCTTGTTCACCTTTGTTTTTATGTTACCATTTAGGTTTTCATTATAGCACCATTATGGCTTGTGTTTCTCCCAAAGGCTCATGTGGTCTGAGGTGGGGCTTTTTCAGAGGTAACTGAATCTAGAGTATGTGACCTTGGAATTGATATGTTGTAATTTGAGGATCAAGGGCACTAAGATCAAGGGTGTGAATGCTATGTGCTCTGAGTAGATTGGATAAGATATAAGTGATGGAAAGAGCTATGGTCATCATTGCTTGTTCTGCTACCTTCTGCCCATTGTGAACTCTTGCTTTGCAAATAAAATTCAGATAGTACTGAAGCATGTGTCGTATTACTAAATACAAATAAATGAAGAACTGTGCTATGAGAACATTAGAATATTATTTGGAGTTAAGCTAGTACTGTGTACATAACACATGGTTTAAATACAAAAATAAATAACCTCAAAGGTTAGCACATAAAGATAATTTGTAAAGGAGTATTTTAAATATTATGGAATAGGTCGTTGTGCTAACTTT